CTGGCGGTTCAAACCCACCAGCCACTCCTCAGAAGGAAGATGGGGCAATCTACTTCTGTAGTGATACTGCCTCGGAAACCCAAGGAGGGGTCACTAGAGTCAGGTCCAACTCCACAGCACATAACACAACAACAACATTAATTTGAGATATGTATACTGCCTTTAAATTAAACAGCACATAAAGAATGAAGAAGACAAAAAGTAAATGACACTGGAATTCCATTCCAAATACTCAGACTATTGGTCTGAATCTGAGATAAAAGCTAGATACAGAATGTCAGAGTTCCATTAAATAAATACCTCTCAATAATGGAGTAGTCCTCTTCCTGAGGAAGGCTGGTGAACTGCAATGCTTTAAGAGCACAGCAAACAAAAAAGTGAAGGCAAACATGGGCACACAGGTAGATAGACAGGTGGACAGGCTGAACTATTAGGCATGTCTACGTAGGGGGTGTGTGCCCAAGATCATGTATAGGGTTGGCAATGTTTCTATAATTGTATTGCTATGCTCTGTAAGAATTCCCAGGTGTAGAGTAGAGCTTACAAGGGACAAGGTTGTAGTCACTTCTTGGCCAAAGCCAGCTACCCAGAGGGACTGAGTAGTTGGACCTATGGGCTTGGGACCATAGTTGCACGGGACATCAAGCTCAATTGGCATAACATACTATACAATACATTGTTCCACCTCCTACTCTGGCGAGTAGTGACTGGGATCTTAAAAGCTAGCAAGCTGCCATCTAGATGCAACGATGGGTCTCTCCTCGTCCACAGCAAAGAAGAATGAAGAAAACCAAAGATGCATGGAAACAAATACACCAGGTTTTCTGGTCTAATAGAGCCTAATGGAACCACTGAGACTATGGCCCTTAGCTGCCATTCAGGTCTGGAATTGAACCCACTCTTGTGGCTTCCAGCCAAACAAAAGACAGGCATATGTACAGAGCATTTACATTAAGTAGATACACTCCTTGGAGAGAACAATCATGGGAGAATAGAAGGGTTGTGTATGCACTGGGAGACAGCTCAGGGGGCAAGTGTGCATAGAGGGAAGGACACAGGGAAGAAGTAACCATAGGGAGAAAGTGGGAGGGGAGATGTTGCATTATGGAAAATTGTAGCCACTGTCATGAGACAAAGTGTATGTGAGCTGCTGTATGGAAAGTGAATTTGCTCTGTAAACTTCGACCCAAATTACAACTGAAAAAAAGAATACATCAAAAATACCAAATGTTATGATTAAGGAAACTGCAGGTCAGAAAGCAAAATGTGAATTGTCTCTGACATTTTATACAAAAATTGACCCCTTCTTGGTCTTTGCTTTTTATTCACAATTTCCAAGGGAATTACTTTTGGTGGAATTTTTATATTAATACTCAATAGTAAGGAATTAAATAATGAAGATTAGAGAGAAAACTGATGAAACAGAAAATTTCAAAAATAGAGAAAATTAATGAAACTAGAAGTAGTATCTTTCAAGGAATTAGCAAAATTGATAAACCTTTTTAGTGAATTTGACTAACGGGTATGTGTGCATGGGGGTGGGGCAGGGATTAAAGGCTCAAATTACCAAAAAAAAAAAAAAAAAACCCAAGAATGAAAAAAGGGACTACTAATCTTACAGAACTAAAAAGGATTATAGGATAATACTAAAGAACGGTATGCCAACATATAAGATAACCTGGATGAAATGCATAAATTCCTAGAAAGACACAAACTACCATAACTAACTCAAGAAGAAACAGAAAATCTGAATAGACCTATAACAATAAAGAGATTGAGTTAGTAATCAAAAATCTTCCCACAAAGAAAATTCCAGGACCAAAAGATTTCACTGGTAAATTTTAACTAAAAGTTTGAACCTTTATAAACTCTTCCAAAAATTAGAATAAGGAATACTTCTCAATTTATTCTGCAAGGCCATTATTACCCTGATACTAAAGCAAGGCAAAGACATCACAAAAAGAATACTACAGAGCAAATTCCTTATGATTACAGATGTAAAAATCCTTAACAGAACACCATTAAATTAAATCAAGCAGCATATAGAAGGAATTATGTACCATGAGCCAGCAAGATTTACCCCAGGAATGCAAGGTTGGTTCCACATTCAAAAATGTACTATATCTGTAGAATAAAGGAAAGCAACCGGGGGGGGGGGAACAACCATGTGATCACATCAACAAACACAGGAAAAGCATTTAACAAAATCCAACACTTTCATGAAAAAAACACTCAACAAATTAGTAATAGAAAGGAACTACCTCTACTCAATGAAGAACATTTCAAAAAACCCAGTTATCATCATACTCAATGATGTAATACTGAAAGGTTTCCCCCAGGATCTGGAAAAAAGACAAGGATGCACAGTTTGCTACTTCCATTCAACACTCTCCTAAGCTTTTACATAGCACAATTAGGCAAAAGAGATTTAAAAGTCATTAAGATTGGACAGGAAGAAGTAAAACTGTTTCTATTTGCAAATGACATGATCCTATATGTAGAAAACCTTAAAGAGTCCACTAAAAAACCTGTTAGAAACAATGGAACAATCACAATGAAATAATGAGAATCTTCATGCATTGTGGAATGTAACCAATGTCACTGAATAACTTGTTGAATGGAAATCTAAACTACTGTGTAAACCTGCATCAATAACACATTATAAAAAAAAAAAAAAACTACTAAAAACCAAAAAAGTTCAGCAAGGTTGTAGGATACATTACTAATATAAAAATAAATAAGTAAATAATATTCCCATAAGCTAGCAATGAACCATCTTAAAATAAAATTAAGGAAACAATTCCATTTTTCATATGATAAAAAATAATAAAATACTCAGAAATAAAATTAATAAAAATGTGCAAAACTTATACTCTGAAAACTGCAAAATATTTTTGTAGGAAATTAAAGAAGACCCAAATAAACGGAAAGACATCCCACAGTTATGGATCAGAGGCTTAATATTATTAAATGGCAATACTAGCCAAACTGGTCTACAGATCTGATGCAATTTCTTTCAACATCTCAGCTGCCTTTTTTGCAGTAACTGACAATTTGATCCTAAAATGCATATGAAGAATATAGGACAATGAATAGCCAAATAATCCTGAAAAAGAACAAAGTTGGAGTACTACCACTTACCAATTTCAAAACTTACTACAAAGCACCAGTAATAGAGGCTAAGTGGGACATATATATCAATGGAAAAGAACTGAGGGTTTAGAAATAAACCCTTACATTTATGGTCAATTGATTTTCAACAAGGGTGTCAAAGCCATTTAACATGGAAAGAACAGTATTTTCAACATATGGTTCAGCACATGTTGTTGTTGTTGTTATTTTGCCGTCGAGTCAGCCCCGACTCATAGCAACCCCTCCTTGGGTTTCCGAGGCAGTATCACTACGGAAGTAGGACTGCCCAACCTTCCTTCCGAGGAGTGGCTGGTGGGTTTGAACCGCCAGCCTTCTGGTTAGCAGTCAAGTGCCTTAGCCACTATGCTACCAGGTTCAGCACATAGATATACTCAAATGTAAAAGAATGAAGTTGGATTCCTTCCTTATACCATACATCAAAAATGAATTCAAAAAGGATTAAAACCTAAATATAGGAACTAAAACTACAAAATTCTCACAAGAAAATACAGGCATACACTTTCAATACTTTTCAGTACAGACTTCTTATATATGACAACAAAAGCAAAAGTGATAAAGAAAAAATACATTGGCCTTTATCAAAATTAAAAATATTTTTGCCTCAAAGGACATGATCAAGAAAGTAAAAAGGCAATGCAAAGAATGGGAGAATATATTTGAAGTCATATATCTAAAAAGGGATTTGCATCTAGGACATACAAAATATACCACTAAATAATAACGACTCAACGGCACTTAACAATAACAACAACAAATAATAAAAGGTCCAATAACCAAATTAAAAAGTGGGCAAGGGATGTGAATAGGCATTTCTCCAAAGAAGACAGACAAATGGACAATAAGCACATGAAGAGATGATCAACATCATTAGCTATCAGGAAAATGCAAGTCAAAACCACAATGATATACCATTTAATACCCAAACCCAAGGAGGGGTCGCTATGGGTCGGGTCCGACTCAATGGCACATAACAACAACAACAACAACAAATGGCTATACTCACAAAAACAGATAATATCTACTGCCAGTGAGGATGTGAGGGAGCTCTGGTGGCCTAATGCCTAAGGCATTTGACTGCTAACCAGAAAGAAGCTGAACACTCATACATTGCTGGTGAATATGTAAATAGTGCAACCAGTGTGGAAAACAGTACAGTTCCTCAAAGGTTAAACAAAGAATTACCATGTGACCACTCCTAGAATATATCCAAGAGAAATGAAAACATGTGTAAAAATTTATTCACAAATGTCTGTAATAGTATTATTTGTAATAGTCAAAAAGTAGAAACAACCCAAATATCCATCAACTGATGAACAGATAAGTAAAATGTGGTATACCCATATAATGGAGTATTATTTAGCCATAAAAAAGGAATGAAGTACTGATGATACATGCTACAACACGGATGAATCTTGACAACATTGTAAGTGAAAGTAGCCAATCACAAAAGACTACATATAGTATGATTCCATTTATACGAAATGTCCAGAATATGCAAATGTAGAGAGACAGAAAGTACTTTAATGGTTGCCTGGGTTTGAGGGGGAAAAGAGGGGAGCAAGGGGTGGTAACTGAGGATGGGGGGAAATGTGATGTTACTGCTTAATAGGTACAGGGTTTTGGGGTTTTTTTACAGGTGATAAAAATGTTCTAAAACTGATTATCGTGATGTTGTACAACTCTGAATATACTAAAAGTCATTGAATTATACCCTTTAAATGGGTGTATAATATGGCACATGAAATATATCTAAATAAAGCTATTAAATAAAAAAAAGATTCTACACCACAATAACTTTCCAATAATACCATTCACCTAGGCATTATGTTAGTCAATGACAATATAAGCAATACTTCGATGTGTACTTCAGTGAAGTATATTTTTAACTAAAAAGAAGTTTTATCAAAATTGTTTTCTAAATAAATTTTAAAATAATAAGTTGCTTATAAGAAGCAATTTGATTTTCAGATTCATAAATTATACATCTTTCAAAATGTGATGTTCCTTTAAGGTTTTGTTTTCCTCCAGCACAATTAGAATTGCTCTCCAGAACTTACAGTTCAATTCTAGTAACTTAGAGAATATTAAAAGAGCTGAAATAAGGAAAGAAGACCAAACAAACCTACATCGGGTTCTAGAATCACACAACGCTGAAATGCCTTTGCTGAACCTCCATAGTCTTCCAGGGCCAGGTAGGCACAGCCCAGAGAAAACCATACTCCGAGCTGCAAAGACCAAAAGTCAAAGTCATTCAAACACATAGATACATTTATAGGATGTAAGCAGAAAATTACTTAATACCAACAAATACACTACTATAAAGAATGAAGATCTATATAATGAGGAATCTGCCTCACAGTTTACATTAGTTTAAATATAGGAAATTTAGCGATAAGGATGAGACTTTTCCTAAGTTAACACGACATTGAAAGCATATACAGTATCACCACAGATCTTTTGCTGAGAAAGTACTGTATATTAACCTAAATCCAAGAATGCACTGAAAAGCTCTGTTTACAAACTTTTACATGGCAGCCTTATACTATATACCTGGGATTAACCTAACAGTTTTACAGTATTTACGATGTTAAAAAAAAAAAAAAGTACAGAGTGTGAGCAGATTCCCAATTGATGAATGTATTAAACTTAAAAAGAAACTTAAAAGAAAAAATTTCTGCTTTCATCTTCAAGTTAAAGCAGAAGTACTTCAGCAGTTTAACCAAGAGCCTGACTGCCCTAGCACATATAGTATCTCTTTGGCAGGCCTGGAGATAATTTAGTAGCTCAGAATCTGGATTACCAGTCATTCAAAATGTAAAGTCAATGAGATCTGTAAACACTGAGATTGAGAAAACATGTAAAGTAGGAAGTGGCTATTCAAATTACAAAAGAATTCTTTACATCACAGGGTTTCCTTAAAATTCAATAGCCTCTATCAAAAGCAAGATAAACCTGATAAAAATTGAATGAAATTAATCAGAAATGTAGCTATTTATGATTAAAGTTTGTTTTCCTTTCTACATAGTCAGTAAAGCTGGCCATAGAATGAGGTCAACTTTTTTACTGACTTCCAGTACAAAGGCAGGGAGCCAGCTAATAGATTTGGTTGAACCCTTTAGGGTGGGAAAGGAAATGAGGTGTTCTGTTATCTGTCCATAACCTTTTGCAGAGGCAGAGTAGGAGTCTGCCCCTACCTCTATCCTCCCCCAGCCATTCCACAAAACTTGTTCCAAGTGGTTAGCTGTGGCCTGAAAGGTCTTTAAATCAATAAAGATTTTTAGCTGATAATTAGAGACAAGGCTTAAAAGCAAACATCCTTGGGCAATCTAACACTTTGCCTTGAATTCACAGGAGGCTATAAATAACTGCTATCTGGAGTTTTTATGGAGAACAGATTTTGTTAGAGGGATAGGTACAGCCTGAAAAGAGGTTGGGGTGTGTGTGCTGGGAGCAGGGCGACACAGAAGTACCAGGTTGAAACTAAAAGGCAGAAGTTCACTTTCACAAATCAAAGGATTTCCAGCAACTCAAAATAAGCTCACTACTTTGCTTTTGTCTGGTTATTTATAGAATCAAATGAAAAGAGAAGAGCTTCAATGCACCAAATCCCACACACCCAATAAACATGATGCATTCTGAGAGGACTTAAAGTCTGATGCTAATTAGGGTATAAAAACAAGCTCTACTACTTCCAACTAGGCTGATTTTTTTTTTTTTTTTAACTATGTACTGTATTTCATTAACTCTAAGGCACACATTCCCCCTCCCCCTACTATTGAACATCTCTGAAATGCATCTTAAAAGCCAATGGCTTGTCACTAAATTATACATGTGGAGAAAGGTGAAAACGCAAACAATTTGTTATTTATATATTTATCACAATTTTTTAAAAAGTAAAGACAAAATAAAGATGGAATAAAATTTTTAAAATGTCTTGTCAGAATTTCATTGACAGCATTTTTCCCCCTTCTATTAAAAGCAGTACTTAAAAATAAAGTGTCTCTTAAATAAAGTGCTGGCGACTGGATCCTACGAATTATGGTTAAGTTTACTTTGAATGAGGAACATCTCATTTGGTGACTAAATCAAGAACAATGAGAAATGTCTTCAAAATTCTAAAAATCCACGTGTCCTGCTTGCTTTCTCAATCAGCAAGAAACAAACGTTTTACAATACTATTTTGTAAGTGAGGAGCTTTGGTAGCACAGTGCCTAAAGGATTTGACTGCTACCCAGATGGCTGGTGGTTCAAACCCACCAGCCACTCCTCAGAAGGAAGGTTGGGCAATCTACTTCCATAGTGATACTGCCTCGGAGACCCAAGGAAGGGTCGCTACGAGTTGGGTCTGACTCAACAGCACATAACAACAACATTTTGTATGTGTTATTTAAAAAACAGCCAAAGTAAATTCAAGACATAAAGAAAGAATTTTGTTTTTCAATCAACATGAAAACAAAACTTCAAAGGTTAAAATGGCTAAAATCTGCTTTAAAACAGGCAGGTGATGAGATTATTATTCACCTCCAAGTTTTTTAACAAATTAATATTTTGCAACCAGTGTCTTGAAATCAAGATAAATTCAATGAATATCAGGCAAAGTAATTTAATATATAGTATTATGGTTTTCTTTGTTTCTTTTTTTTTTTTTTAACTTCTGGTTATTCCTGTGATTTGAAAGATGAATTGCTAAATTTTCCTATTTGTTGTTATGTTTGTTGTTATGTGCCGTCGAGTCGTCCCCGACTCATAGCGACCCCTCCTTGGGTTTCCGAGGCAGTATCACTACGGAAGTAGGATTGCCCAACCTTCCTTCCGAGGAGTGGCTGGTGGGTTTGAACCTCCAGCCGTCTGGTTAGCAGGCAAGTGACTTAGCCACTATGCTACCAGAGCTCCCTTTACAACATCCAATTATAATGGGTTACACACAGCCTATTCTTCGAAATTATGTAATGGCTCACTCTCTCTTTTAACTCTGTTGTTGTTATGTGCCCTCGAGTGGGACCCGACTCACAGCGACCCCTCCTTGGGTTTCCGAGGTGGTATCACTACGGAAGTAGATTGCCCAACCTTCCTTCCAAGGAGTGGCTGGTGGGTTTGAGCCGCCAGCCTTCTGGTTAGCAGTCAAGTGCCTTAGGCACTACACTACCAGAGATCCTTCTTTTAACTCTAGGATCTTCTAATTGTTTGTGGTCCATCCATTAGTGAATATTCACTAATAGTACCAATAAGGACTGGCATCTTGCTTCAGGAATGGTCATATTCCTAAGGACAGAAGACCATAAAAGAAAAGCAAAATCAAAAGAAACATCAAAAAAAACCTCTCACATGATGCCTCAAAGTATATGTTTGCTATCTGACTGAAATACAGTATCATTACATTTTCTAATAGCCATATGGGAACACATTCACAGGCACAGGGCTTAGAACTTCAACATAGACTATTTGGGGGCACATTTCAATCCTTAACAGTCAGGTGTTTTGGTTACCTAGTGCTGCTCTGACAAGAATATACCACAAATGGGATGATGGCCTTAACAAACAGTTTATTCTTTTATAGTTTGGGAAGCTAGAAGTTTGAGTTCAAAGTGCCAGGCTCTAGGGGCTGGGTGAAAGTCCCTCAACTTTGGGCTGCAGCTCTGCCTCTTGTTCCTGGCCCACTGAAGCTAGAGGCATCTCTTCACTCATGCAGCTATGGGCTGCTGAGGCTAACAAGCCCAAGGTCGACAAATACAATGGCACAGTCCAATGTTACCAAACCACACAGCAGGCCATTAATTCAACTCCATTCAAAGTCCCAAGGTTGGCAGGCTGCTGAACAACGACACAACTACATGCAGGGTTCAAGTGTGCCATAAGCTGAAACCATTTCCAAAGCTGTTTCTTATATACGGGAAGCAGAGCACATACCTAAAGCAGCTACTTAGCTGCTCGTTGTAGGTCCCACCACAGAGTTGACTGCAAGCCTCATCATGGGAAATAACTACCACCAGCTGCCCAGCCACTCAACCAGGCCCAGCCAAGTTGACACACAAACTTAACTACCACATCAGGGAATTGAGAAAATTGGCATCCTTGCTGATTTGAAGCACTTACTCAATCTTGCCAGCTCAGAAGTCCCAGGACATTTTCCTCCATAATGAGGCTTCAATTTGCTCCATCTAGTCCCTCCTCACTGCAAAAGCCACCCATAGCAATCATTCATTAAACTTCTTATAATACCATTTATGCCACATCACTCTTTTATTTAAAACCATAATGGACACCCGGGAGCTCTGGTAGCATAGTGGCTAAAGCACTTGACTGCTAACCAGAAGGCTGTCGGTTCAAACCCACCAGCCACTCCTCGGAAGGAAGGTTGGGCAATCCTACTTCCGTAGTGATACTGTCTCGGAAACCCAAGGAGGGGTCGCTATGAGTTGGGGCCGACTCAACGGCACATAACAACAACAACAACAACAACAACAATGGACACCCATGGCTACAGGTCTAGATAACCCTCTAGCAGGACATGTAAGACTTTTCAGAAAGCTACTTCTACCCACATCATTTCCCAGGAGAAACTCTGCTCCTTGCAGAAAGGCTGACACAGCCTAATTCATTACCATATCCATGTCTGGTCATAGCATGCACTTGATAATGATGAATTAAAAAGCCAAAACCCACTCCATGGAGTTAATTCCAACTCATAAAGACCCTATAGGACAAAGAAGAATTGCCCCATAGAGTTCTCAAGGCTGTAAATCTTTACAGAAGCAGACTGCCATATCTTTCTTCCACAGAGTGGTTGGTAGGTTTGAGCTGCCAACCATTTGGTTAGCAGCTGAGAGCTTAACCACTGTGTCACCAGGACTCTAATGTTCAATTAGGCAACCACATAATCTACTGTTCAAAGTGTAATACTTCTGAAAGTGAAATACTTCTACAGCCCAAAGTTGAGGGACTTTCATCCAGCTTCTAGCGCCTGGCACTTTGAACTGAGACTTCTAGCCTCCCAAACAGTAAAAGAATAAACTCCTGTTTGTTAAAGGCATGAAAAAGAATTAAAATCACATAATGAAATAAATTATATATTGACCTGTAACAAAATGGGTTTGCAGTATCAGGATATTCATAAGATCCTTCTAATCAAAAACCACTTCCAAAAATAAAATTATATCTTTTAAAAAATGGTCAAAGTAAAAAAAAAAAACTTGAAACCAAAAGGACCATTAATTAGTTTATGGTG